TACCCCAGCAGTGGTAACCAGCAGCGGGGAGAAGCTGACTCAGCAGCGGTAAGGGCTAGCGAATTGCAGAGGTGCTACTTGTCCCTTTCTCTTTCAGTCAGCCTTGCTCTGATGCAAATTCTTTTGCTGTCACTGAGCCAAGATACAAGCAATAAATTCCAGGAAAAATATGTCATCTGAAATGAGCAGTGGTGAGATATAGTGCACTGTGGAACGGAGTTTCACAGCGATATATTAAAAAAAGAGAGATTAAAAGTAAACTACCTTTTTATTTTATATTAATGAGACTCTCTGCTAAGTTTATATTCCTTAAAAAGAAAACACCCCACTTAAATAACTCAATTAAAATGGAGTTAGGAAGTAAGAACTCAAAGAAAATGACTGTATTAAAGATCTTTCTCTTCCTAGGAAATATGGAAGTATCGAATTCAAAATACTGCAGTATCATCTATCAGGAAGATCACTTAAACCACCTATGACCTGTTATTTGTCAGTCACTGGAAGGCACTTGAAAGACACCTGCGCTTCTCCCTTGCAGAACTGCGATGTGCCTACCACATAGCCTACACTAACTGACAAGCTACCTAAGCGACAAGCTTTTCATGGTGCCAGGGAAACAAAATTCAGCAAGTGTCCATTTTTTTGTTAGTTTTAAGATGAAAAGCAGTAAGATGGAAGCAATATCCCTAATATGACAAATGATGAAAGAGCCGTTTCTAGGGCAGAGGCAGTTTAACAAAACTTGTAAACTCAGGAGGCTCACTGGAGCGTGGAGGGCAAGGACAGCAATGGGACTGTATGCACCAGCTGCTGAATAAAATCCAGATGTGCTATCAGTGCCAGCAACTAATCTCAGCTGCGGGGATCTAAATCAGGCCCAAATATAACTCCCCATGTCTGAAAAGATCTGAAATAACAATGTGAGCTACAAGGAACACTAGAAAACCATAGAAGCAGCTATGCAAAACTCCTCTGGTGCTTGTGCTAGAGGATATACTGAAAACTCAGTCAGTACTACCAAGGACACAATGTGAGGAATTACCCAATGGTAACGAGTCCTGAGTCCCCGCAGTAGAAATGGCCTCACCGCAGCACCTGTGGCTGAGTACTGAGACCTACAGTCCATTTACCACACTTCCAATCCAGATGCTTACCCTGGCTGAATTTTGTATTATGACAAACAGATACCAGATCAAATGTTATCGTCTTCTATACCAAGTGTATGTCACAAGGTCAGTTACACTGCAAATGTGTGCTTTATGGGTGTAGCTCGGTGTGTACCAGTTTGTCCATTTGCAGATAGGCATTTTCATTATAGAGTTAACACTGTGCATGTTGACACTGCTAAGGCTCAAAAAAAACCCCTGTAAATGTGACGGCTATAATCAGGGGGTTTTTTGTTGTTTTTTTTTTCTCTGAAAGAGGAATTCCCTGATTATCTGAATCATAGCTGCTGAAACAAATTGCAGCATTGTGTGTATATGAAAGAAATATTTTTAAAAGCTTAAAAGCAACAAAAGATATAAACGGTGTGAAACCAATGACTAAAATTTTTGAGCTATTTGAAAAAAGTTGCTGTCAGCCTTGTAGGTGGTCTACATAAGACTCCCACACTCCAATCTTTCCAGGCATGATTTTGCTTGATTAATTAGAGAAACAGGGGAGAGGTGATACTTTTGCAGTGACTGATGTTTTCTTATAATTAAATCAATTTGGTATATATCTTCCATAAAGTATTAGGTAATGCAGTGTTCACAAAACGCCAACCTAAGTGTCATCTGTAAAATTACAAATTTAATATTTAGATGAATGTCTTTGGTAAAAATAAAAACAGCGGGCTCTTTAATTTCATAGAAATATAGTATCATAAATTTAGTCTGAGCATCATATATTAAAATAATATTATGCAAATAGGCATGACAGTTAAATAAGGTATTAGACTTATATAAAGACTATTTAAATGAATAAGTAATATTTTAAAATGTCAGTCAACACACTATGAAAAAAGAAAGCTCAATTTAATTAGATTGGTCATTTGTGGCTTAGGTATGAAAAGGATTAGCATGTAGAGTAAGTTAAGGCTGCCCAAAGCTTTGTGTGGTTTTTACACAGGTATTCACTTTAATCTCAATAAAAGAATTAGTGTAACAGATGCTGACTTACACGGTGCTTTGCTGCCTATGGCACAAGAGAGCTTCTCAAGAAACTTGCTGTGTTGCCATGTAAAGGTCAGGCACAGTTTATGGAGAATTGGAAAGAAAAAGATCTTAAAAAAAACCAGCTTTGCTGACAAATTTGTAGTATGGTGGTACAGACAAGCTTTTTTATAGTCTGCTTATGTCAACTTTATTTTGCATAATTTCTCTATAAAAGGAAAATAATTGTAGTACCAATAGAGAAGATGTCTATCAGCAATCACTGTCATAGTCCGGTGAGATTGGAGGGGCCAGATAGAGGGTTTGGGGTAATATACTAACTTACATGATTTTTTTTTTAAATGTGCATAAAAGTCAAGCGATTGACAGTAACATTTTCAGCCTGACATAACTTGCCTTCTGTAAAGTGCAATGCATTGAAGAAGGCAGAGTAGATAAAACGCTCTTGCTGGGAGGGCCACACTTTTGCCTGGAATTAATGCAGAGAGGTCTCTACACAGTACTGAAAAATAAATGGGGCCTAGTACACATATTGGGCTTCCTCAGCTGGAATTATTTTCTGTATCCCTGGAGATGGACCAGAAAGTGAGAAGAAAAGAGGTCACAAGGGCCAGGCAGATGCCAAATCTGTACCTAATTGTCATAACCACAGGACTGAGGTAGATGGTATGCATTTATAAAACAGACTGGTGCATAGCACATCCATGGCAATAGGTGTGCCTGTATTGCAAATACTGCACTTTGGAAGTCCTGAGGACTGCCAGCCCAAACTGCTGGAACAGCACACTCACAGTTTCCCAACTACCGTGCTCTGCTCGAATTCAAGAGGAAAAGAATAATATCAGGTTTTCTTTGTTTTGGGGAGAAAGTAAGAAGAACCTTAAGTGCAAATTATTTTCATAGACAAGCATTATTTAAAAACTAAAACAGACAAAAATTATAATCTCATACTCTCTAAAATACATTTCCCTTTTCTTTTTTGTACTTTTATGCTGAAGTACCTTCTCAAATCTTCTGCAAGCTGGGTTTTTTGAATTAATCTTGAAAAATGTGAATGCTTCTACTACAAGTTTCCAGCTACTTTCTTTTCATATCTACTGTAAAATATGCTAATAGAAAAATGTAGCAGCTGCACTCTGCTCATTCAATGGAAATTATCAGCTTGTGTATATTTATTGTGTTATTGACCCTGTATTTGCCAAATGAATGTAGGCACATGTACATTCCAGACAAGCGGATACAAAAAGTGGATTTAGAAATATGCTGTACTGGAACTTTTTATAATAGGGTTTTTATTGTGGAGTTATGAGGAATTCTTGGGAGACAATAAGAGATTTTTTTTTTAAAGTCTCCAAAATGAGGAACATTATTTAGCAGATACTGTAAAAAAAATGAAAAGTTTGGAAATAAATCTATTTAAGTCTACTTAATACAAGGAACATAACGATTCCAAACCAAATGGCACAGGTGTGAAAGTCATCATTTCCAAAAGTGGGCATGCTGAAGGAAGCCACTGAGTCTAGCAAAGGACAGATGTTGTGTGCTGTCAATGCAGTATACAAGGTTCAAAACCATCTAGTGATAACAGCAATTTCTTTCAGCACCACTGACTGCTTGTATTCAAGCTGCATACAACGCTGTCTGTGTTTTTATCCATCCTGACTATTATACCATTGGAAATGCACATTAATGGCAACTTCTCTTGTATCTTGATTTATATGTTATTCAAGCCTATACTAATCACATATATTTAAATGCAACTTTTGGGAGAAAACAAATCCTCGTAGACGTGTTCATTTGGAACACCACAAAATGCAGCACTTCCAAGCCTCTGAAATAAATCAGAGATAGTCAGGTAATTCAGGAATAGCATGTAGAGCTTGAGGGGGTTTGTTGTAGCTTTTTGAATTAGACGTGTATAAGCATTGGTACAGTTTATTCTTTTCAATGAGAATACAGGAGCTGGCTTTTTAAAGGACATCATTGTGTTATTACGTGTAAAGACATGAAACACTGGGCTACATCAAGAACATGAAGCTGAAATTAGCCATTTTAAATCACAGTGAAAGACAAATTTAAACACTTAAACATGTGCCAAATATGAAAGCCTCCCCCCACAATCTATAGCTCAGTCTCCTGCAAAACTGAAATACCTCACATAACAAACCTGGTTGACAAACACAGTGATTTATGAGAGAGGGGGGATTCTCATTCCCCAGTAGCATAACCACTGAAATTCAGCAGCACTTAGACAAAAAAAACCCAAAAAAACCCTTTACACTACTGCACATAGAAGTGAAACACCATTTTCCCATTTTAGGATGCAAAGCAAGCTTCACAGATCTCCTACTAACTTTCTGTCCCAGCACAATAACTTTCTCACAACTTTACATGTGGCAGCTTGGCAGGAGAGACTAATATTCTCAACTGCACAGCCCCTCGATCCCTCCTTGTCTCATTCCATAATGGTCACAATCAGGACCTGAATTTAGGTCTTTCTGTGGCCTTAACAACTGCTCCAATCTTTAGCACACATGTAGTTGTATACATTGTGTTCATACTACCAGGTTAATCAATAGTCCTTAAAATACAAAGCTAGGAATGTCTTTACAGGATCAGAGCTCTAAGTCTGCAATGTGTTCCTTGTGTGTGTACTGCAAATAACGGAGTTGAGCAAGTGAAATTTTCACAAACCTTTGAATTACTCTTCTCAGTTATAAACAGCAAGAAAAACATTAAGTAGAAATACATATATACATAGCCACGTGTATGCAAATAAATAAAACTAAATGTATCATTTCCATATACTCCAAAACCTTGAATCACACAAACAAAAAAGCTTACCCTTGCCAGCGTCAGTGTTCCTTGTTTACACACACTGCAGCGGACCCTCAGTTTCCCAGGTTTCACAGCTTGGCAGAAATTTTTGCAAAAAACATAAAAACTGTTGTAACTAGCTGCACCTGTCAGGAAGAAAAAAACAACAAACAAAATGATTTGATGCATACTGAAAATCAGTAACAAACCGTATTGAAAGGCTTCTATTTGACTTTATAAGCATTAAGTAAAAAAAAAAAAAAGTTATCTTGCCTGGTCTAGGTCTTAACACTTAACTCCTGCTTCTTGATCAATAGTTATAGGTGAACTACACCATAACTCCTAGAAAATGCATCCTGTCTTGGGTTTGAGCTTACCACTGATGAGCACCAACTGTAATCTTTGGCAAGTGATGCATGAGATTAATTACCTCAGCTCTCCATAATTTGCATCTTACTCTTAGTCTGAATTTGTCTAGCTGCAAGTTTTAGTGAGTTCAAATTGCATGAATATTTTCTTGGATGAAGTTTAAAAGATTAGTTTGACTGATATCACAGCAAGAAAACAAATATTTAATTTAGCAAATTTAGTTTTATTCATGGAAGACTGGGAATCATTTCCTTATTCTTGCTGGCAGCGGTATAACCTAGCAAAGTTTGTAAACTGCTGCCAAGATATTAGGCCAAGTAAATTTTCAAGGAAAATTAAATGAAACACATTCTGTTCTGTGAAACTATGGAACAGAAGCTGATATGCAGAGAATTGTGTAAGCCTGGGGCAATGCTAATGAATTTGATTTCACATGCAATCCTGATCACTGTTTTGAGTAAACCCCTTTTTAGGATGGCTATTTCTATTCCTTAAAAAATGATGGAATATTCATAGCATGGTTTTAGACTACACATCTCCAAGTTCAGAGACTCAAGCTTACTAGCAGACATTGAACTGAGACCAGAATAAAGTTTGTAACAGATTTTTCCCAATATCAAGAGGAATGGTTGTGGAGATTTAACCCATTAACAGTGGTGAACTTCAGAATCAATAGCAGTCCCTTAGAGATCAAAAGTTTTTCACTGTCTTCTTCCTCATTCTCCTACTTCTCCCTACATTTATCAGCAATACAGTTTTTATGTATATTTGAATCCTAATATGTTACCACAGTAAATATGATCTGGAATAATACTTTTAAACACGAATGACTTGCTTTATTTTTACATGTACTTCACGTGACATGGGTCAGACCCTGTGTTCTGCCAATGGAAATGCTTAACAACTTCATGTTACACATATTCATAGGTGTCCTAACATAAATGTGCAACTACTTCCCACAACTCAACCTCAGAGAACTATGTCATCCAAAAAACTTTTTTCTAAGAAAAAAGATGTACACTGTTGAAAGGAGAAATCTTATAACACTTCTCCAAGTTTTCAGAAATGTAAGCTACATAAGAGTACATCAGTGATGTAGCCAATATAAGTTTTAGTCAGCTGAGCTATCAAGATTTTCATTATGCTTCCCTTGGGAATATTAATCACAATAGCAGAACCTAAAGCATAGCAGAATTTAAACTGAACTCAGTTTTTGTGGAAAATTAACACATATCCTTACATTCACAGACATACAAACTTTTCATGTGAGCAAGTGCAACTCAAAATGTTGGGAGCACACTTCTCAAATCAGTCTAAAAAACAGTTCTGAGATGTAAATTGTTCAACTAAAGACAAAAAGGTTTATCCTGAACTATTTAATATATAGTACAATGTTGAGAGGTGAATCCAAACTAAATATGACAAAATTTTGGACATTTGGATCTCTGTCCACTCATATTTTGCCTGACTAGTCCTGAGAGCACATCTGGATTAGACTCGATTTGAGCTAGAATCCACAACAAAAATCTAAACTGCACTACTGCAGATGAGGAGGGTTACTCTTGCAAATGATTGAATTTTACTTTTGGCAGCTCCCCTGTGCAGGATAAGCAGGTCAATCGATAAAACCAAAAGGGCAGTACCTTTAACACAATTCAAAGGAAATATTATATGACTTAAGTAAGCAAGAATGCTATTGCTAATAGAGGCCTACAATAAACAAGAGTATTTCAGCCAGTTATTCCTGACTCGGTCTCAAGTGCAGGAAGTGAGACCAGAGCCCTTTGCTATTTTGGTATCACCAGTCCTCTCCCATCGCTCTGATTCCTTATATTTGCACTCAAATGAGACTAATGAGACTGCTGCTTCTTCTCTTCACATGTAGAAGCACTTCTTCTGAGTAGATCTGTGATGCCACTACTCACTATCTTGATTCGGTCCTACTCTCCAGAAGGACTCCTGCCATGACTGTAATGAAACCCTTCCAGTCAAACAGAACATCTTATTGAGTACATGAGCCCTTACAGAATAAAATATTTTGTTAATTGGGCTGATGCCTTTCCTGATCCATCCCTCCACTCCCTGATGTCCTGTGTCCCTGTCTCATATTTCATACCGAGTTTATTTCAAGCAGCAAACTACTTGAGGCAGGAATCATGCTTTCTGCCTGCTTTGTGTTCTAAGCTCATTCCATCTGGACCCAAAGATAAAATTATATTATTGATAATACTCTGCAAAATATTCACAGGATAGTATGGCATAAATCAGCATGACTGAATACTGCAGTAAAAAATAGCAGTCATAGGAGAGGCCTAAAATGAGACATATTGCTGATTTAATATAGAGGATAAATCTTATGCATTAGCTTGATATTTACTTCGTGCAAAAATAGACTATGTTAGCTCAATATTCATTTTTCTTAGCACTTTCAATTTTTTTCCTTTTTCATGAATATGAAAAGTACCCCCAAACACATCCCCTATGCACAAATTTGAAACACAAGAAACAAATTTACAATATAATGAGTTGGAGCCATTAAGCAGCACAGATCTATTCAGAGACCCAGAATAACTTTTGAAATGTCTGCTATAGCAAGGCCGCTGGAAAGGCACAACAGGACAAGAAGAATGTTCTGATTTTAGGAGGAAACTGTAAATGGAGATTTTCAGCAATCCATTCACCATTTGATGCAGATGTGCATTTAGTGCAGTTACATCATTAGGTTTATGTCCTGGGCAGCACCACCAGGAGTAGCAAAGACTGAACTAAAAATGCAGATGCTGAAGGTCAGCATGCAGTGCCATACTGGTGGCCAGCATTAAACTCTTTACCGAGTTGTTAATGTCATTGTGTATTTTAGCATGGCCCTCAGCTGAGACTGCATCCTCTTGAATCCCTTTTCAGAGAGGAACCAAAAGAAACAGGAATAAAGATATCTGCTTTATGCACCAGCTCTGACGTAGCAATATTAATAAGAATTGTAATTATGGCACCACGCCAGTAATCACTAAAATTGCTGCAGCACCAACCTTAGAACCTCGTCTTCCCTCATTCAATCATGGTCTATACATTTTCATAAAGCTTTCCATTAATAATTTATAATACTGGCACTCAGCAAGAATGTGCAGACACAGCAAATTACAAGTTAAAAAAATGGAAGTCCTTTTATAAGTGCTGATTCTGATACTGAATGTGAGCAGTAATGACATAAAAAAATTAATTAAATTATAACTACTACTCTTCTTTGCAGTTTCATACACTGGTGGGCGCAGGAAGACTGAGGGAAAAAACAAATGTGCTGTATCTGCAGTTATTCTTTTCTGAGAAGGTAAAGGCACAGCAATGTCAATTTTCAGGTCCATATTCCAAATATTTAATTGCAGGGCAAGGGTCACATAATAGTCTCTTTTGACCATCAAAGATTCATCTGTTGGTCTGGATGCTCTTTTCTAGCTTTCCCACATCATCTGGTACATCAGCATGCCTTTTGAGAAGCCATTTGCTTTGAGTCTCTACCATTACATTACTCCTATCCCTCAAGATGGTGCAACAAGGATCTGTCATTTTGTTGACAAGTATTTTACTTTAATTTACTGTAAACTGAAAAAGATGCCACCAGAAAGTTGACCTTACAAACCTGAGTTTCTCATAGGTACAAGAGCATTTTTCAACACATGATCATAAGCTAACTTTTTAAGAAGCCACCTCCAGTATGTCACGCCTCAGATGAACCTGACTTGGAAGCACAGAAGAAAAAAGTCTTTCATTTTATTCACAAGTGATAAATTAGCAGCCATATTAATTATTTCCATCTGCATTGGTAAATACCTCTCATAACTTGTTTCAACATAGCAAAACTCATTTAATACACAACTGCCTGGCTATACTGGTCTACCTTAACTGCCCTTTGCATTTAGTGAGAACACTTCCAGGACTGACTCTTTCAGGGAATGTGAGGGAATGTCTCCTGTCTGGAGTCCCAAGAAATGCCTCTCTCATCTGCAGTCATAGAGAGTTCACAGCCTCCTTCCTCAGGTCATCTGTACTAGTACTTCAATATCTTTATTTTTAGACAGATATTCCTTATTTTTAGCTTTAATTTTCTGTGCTGAAATTTAACAATTACATCTCCTACTTTCCACCAAAGATATCAAAACCAATATATTTTCTTCTCTTTGCAGCAGGTTTTTGTACTGGTTTTCTATTTCATGGGCCACTCAACCCCAATATTGCCATTCCTTTCTTATACATTATGTTCTCTAGAGCTCAAAGTATTTCTCTTAGACTTTTCTTTAAATAGTGTTAGGTGCAGCTCCCTAAACTTGTCATAATTTTCCAGATGAAGTCTTTCTAATGCTGAGCACAATAGGGTTCTTTTTCTGTATAATATTTTCCTTAACATTATGGGCATAACTTAATTGGTTCCTGCTCATTCTATGGTCTAAAATGAACCTCCAAACCCTTATCTACTTCACCTGTTGTAACCCATTCTGTATTTGTGTTGATGAATAGTGGCAGCTAAGTGCAATACCCTCTGCTGGCAGCTTCTGAGCAGCATGGTGGTTTTTTTCGAGCCTATATTTCCAATTTGTCATGGTCATTTTACATTCTCAGACTGTCCTCTAGTTTATCTGCAGTCTCTCCTAGCTTGGTGATGTCTACAGATTTAATAAGTATTGTGTCTATTCCATCCTCTGAGTCATTAATGAGAATATTGATTGATATCAGATGGAGGGCAGACCCATTCAATATATCCATCCATTTTGATGATGAACTA